TCAGCGCATACGTGCAGATCACGTCTGGTCTAAAAATTACTTGCTTGTTCCCAATTTAATGTTCTCTTTCAGTTTGACTTAGTTCAGTTCTCAGTCTTTAAACTTTGGACACTTTCCAATGCAAATTTGATATTTAAAGGTTGGAGTTATAGCCTGGATTTGTCCAGTAAGAAACTTCAGCACCACTTCTGACCGTGTGATTTATTGTCCTGTAATGAGCAGCGGTTTAACACTTGCATTAAGTAAACGCTGACATCTGCATGCTTATTACAAAAATTGGCAGCTACCAAGAGTATTTGGCACAAGAGACTGAAGCAGTGGCCTTGAGTCAATGACTTGTTTCCTCGGCCTGCGCTCGTTTCTTGGATGGTCATGAGGTTTTTGTCTCACTCCAGATCATGTCTTAGTTGCTGATGGGAGCTGGGTTTTAATAGCGTGAAGGATGTGCTCTAACTGCAAAATTAAGAATTCACTTCACTCACTGACTTTGTCTGGATCACCTACATTAGAAAAAAGAGGTGGGGGGAAGCCTGTACAAGACCACACTTGCTGCAAACTATGATTGGGTTCTATGAGAGAAATAATTTAATGCATATTAAGTGTGCATGTTTATGAATATATACACATATATATATGTGTGTGTATAAATATATACATGTTTTATATATATACACACACACATATATATATAATATATACACCTATATATTTAAGAAATGTTCAGTAATAATGGGAAGTGTTTCCAGAGGCATGGTGACATTGGTCTTGTCATTCTTATTTGTACCTGGGAAGCATCTCCCTCAAGAGAGGGCTGATGGCCAATGCAACTGCACAGCTTTGTCTTTCTCCCAGCACCTAACGCCTGCCCAGATATACCACGTAACTGTGATGCCCTGTTATGACAAAAAGCTGGAGGCTTCAAGGCCAGACTTCTTCAACCAAGAGTACCAAACCCGGGATGTGGACTGTGTAATCACCACAGGTAAGCAGAGCCAGAGGCACTCCAGCTCATTAATTTCTGTAAGCCTCAGCAAGGCGCTTGCTGGCTTTGATAACCCTTTGTCTCTGATAGAGGGCACAGCGCATGGATATTGCTGTGTAACTGCACTTCAGTAATGCAAATCATGTCCTGGTAAAAGCTGCAGATGCAGTCTTGTGTCTGAGCTGTGGATTTTGTTTTCCTTTATTCCCAGAATAAGGTCTTACGTCTTTGGTTCTGTTTTAGGAGAAGTGCTGAAGTTGTTGGAACAAGAAGGAGTATCTCTATCAGATGTCGATCCTGCTCCATTGGATACCATGTAAGAACAAAGTCTCTCTTACATCTTCAGTCGTGCTCTTTTTCATCCAGTATTTATCGACTTGAACACAATTTGCCTTCCCACTGCTGTTCTACACAAGGCTGCATGTGACGGCATTTGATTTGTTTCCTTGGGTCAATTGTGCATGAAAATACTTAAATCTACACAGTATGATGAATTTCCACTTGTGGAGAAACTGTAATTATTTCTTCTAGGTTTTAGTCAACCAAGGATTGGCAGCTCTCGCTGCAAATCAGCAGGACTGCTAGAATTAACTCAGTAAGAGTATAATGGCAAAATAATTGTGTAGAGAAATGACCCTCTATTACTTAAATTACAGTTACTCACAGCATAGCTGGTGACATCCCACAAAAATCTACCTGCATACTTTGAACAGCAAAACAGTCTCAATCAGCAATAAAAGAGTTTGCCAGAAGCAAGCGTGTAACTGCACCGTGCTCAGTTTGCTTGTCTCAGTTATCAGAGATGAGAATTAAAGCGTAAATAAGAAATATTTAGGCCACACAGCTAATCTCTAGGACTCATTTTTTCATAAATAAAGACATCTAAAACATGTGCAGACCAGATGGGGCTTCAGTTGCTTCAGCCGAGGGACAACATCTGGTTAAGTGACAACTGCACAGAGATCTGAGTGACTGCGGAAACATTAAAATCACGTTTTCCTCGTCTGAATTGACACGCAGTGGTGGCTCCCCACTGAACACTAAACCAAAGCGTTTTCTTCTTCAGTTTAAAAGAGATGTCTTTGTAGCACTGTGCACATTCATAAACAGAAAGACTGTACGTGCAGCAATCTTTTAAGAATTCTAGAAGATGATTAAGCATACAGTTCAAAAAGTTATTGCTCAGGCACCTTAAATTTTTAGGAGAGATTTTGATACCCCAAATACGCAGCATCTGTCACATGAGTAGAATGTGACACTGGTCTGTTTTTAGCTGTACTCCTTTCAGATGTGATGCTCTTGGTTTGAAATTCAATTTCTAAGTTGGCTTCAGGCACGTGTGTGTTGGCAGGGCTATAAAGGAAGTCTCCTTACATGCAGCCCATTTCCTGTATTTTAATTGTTAGAAACTTTGGCCACTCCTGTGCTTCTAAAAAGAAAGGAAATGTGAGATTGGACAGCAATGGACAGTCTTTCTCTCTTTCATGTGGAGGATGCTTCATATAAAAAAAGAGAATTAAAATAACGTGCATGCCCAGAGCTTCAGTTTCCTCCTGCTGCATTTCAGTGGACTGGTAGGTGTAGGTTTCACATAACACATTTACTAGCACAGATCTATTTATGCACATTTTTTCCCCAGGATTAAGTGTCTTTTCCTGCCGCAGCGTATGCACAGATTGCTTTCACATCAAAAAAAGAAAAGTATCCTCAGCTATCATAAGCGCCTGCGTGGTTGAGTCCCAAAAGTACAACTTAAAAGTTGCTCGTGTAAACGAGTACGTCTGTTCTACCTGCTTTATCAGTGCGCCACTAACAGCAAATAGAGGAGGAAAAAAGATTTTTTAAGTGTTTGGGTTCCCTTAGCACACGACGTTATGGAAGTGTCAGTTGTAACACAGAGCTGGATGCCTGATGACTTGATAAAAATCTCTGGCCAGCTGCTCAGGAGGACATAGCAAGCGCTAGGCCTCATGCTCGGGGTGATAAAGGGCCTCTATGACCTTTTGCTGGCTTTAACATACTCGGTAAATGGACTGGTTACAAACAGCACGTATTCCTCCCAGCTTGGAGCGTTCCCATAAGCAGCCCGGTGGCTGTTGTTCTGCTTTATCCTCCAGCACGTGGAAAAGCCCATTAAGAGGTTATTGGATTTGGCAGCAAGGATGAAATCGAGTGCCAGAAATCCCAGGACTTTTGCTGGTGGAAGCGTTTGCTCCAGGCCAGCGCTGGAGCTTACTGGCAGCTTCATTTTAAGCGAGCAGTGGTACGTGAGGCCAGACACACTGAAACGCTTTCTTAATGAAGCTCAGTTCCTGTAAACAAGATCCAATTAAAAACAGTTTCCGAGGGGGATCGCAGGCTAAAGCGTTGCCTTCTGCAGTTCTTCCAAAGCTAAGATTTGATCTGTTTGCAAGAGGCAGCATCTTCGATTTGACTTGAAACTTTGGCCTGAACTCAAGTGTTTTCCCTTCTGCAGCTGTTGGTAGGAGAATGCAAGTGTCACTGCCCGATGAGTGGATCCCTCATCTTGGTACGCTCTCCTAACAAAAGCTGTTGTTGTGCCTTCCATCTGCCGAGCGGTTCTCCAGAAACATTATCTTGACCTCTGAAGGGTTGTGTTTTGCCATGTCAGCGAGAGGGAATTGTTTGTGCAGAAGGGGGATTACAGACCTTATGTTAACGTGGTTGTTCGACACCAAAAACGTGTTGAGCTTGAACCAGGATCCCGCCGAGGACAGCGGTGTACAGAGCAAATGTCCTGGCACCGTTGGGTTTGTTCATCCTTGTTACACAACCTTAAGCACTAGGATGTTTATAGAGGTATTAAACAAAAAGCTAACCAAATAGGCACGTCAGGTAATTGCTCTTGGAACTCAAACATCCCCAAACAGGTTTTTTGATACGTGAAGAGTGCATGGGCCAGGCCTTGTTGTGGTGCGTGACTCTTGCCAATGGTTAAGCCTGCAAGGCTCTGAAGCTGTAAATAGTTGATTCCCAGGAGAAAGGGAAAAGCTGGAGCTCCAGGGGAGCTGGGCTGTTGCTTTTGAGTCCCCTGCACCTTTGCATTTGTGCTGGCATTCAAACATTGTCCTAAAACTGCTCCTT